GCGTGCGAGAGAAGTATAATTAATTGTGGAAACATGTGGAACAAATGTGACCGAATAAACTGACAGTATGTACCAAGAAGCTGAGCGGCGTTTGTGTTGTCAAGCCTAGACGTTAAAGCAGTGCAAGTTTTGTAGCAGTAAACATCCAGAGAGTGAGCCGTGGCGAAAGCCAATAGGTAGTAAGCCAAAGTGCAATCCAAGTCAAGCCAAGGTTTATTACATTAGCCATAAGCAACGGTAATCGTTGGGCTACAACACCCTAAGCCCCACATCCCCCTCATTCTCAATGATTCAACTGTGGCGACACCCCTAGTCTCAACCTAATAAATTAGCAATGTGTAGAAAGTACTGTGACAACCAAACACCTATCAATCAGTCAGCATTTTTCCTGGAAAGTACAACAGCGACAAATTCCGCAGGTCAAGCGTAAGCACAGACAACATTAGGTCAGTCAACCCATTGGGATTAGCTTGTTAGCTAGACGAATTTCCCGCCAAATTCTGCGACTGGGTGGAAGCAAACTGATCGTTTTTGCATTTATTTTCATCCTTCTAATCCAGTTGGCGTCAAGCTTGCAAGACGCAGAAGCAAACCCGGTGTTCGCTTGATTTATGCCACCTTGTTCAAAATATCCGCCATGGTTGGTGTTCTTGCTAAATATCTAAATTCTCAGACTTGGGCAGTTTGGTGTGTCTTCAAGATATTTTTGTAGCCAATGCTAATTTCTTGAAAAACTATTTTTGGGCCGACATTCTTCTACCGGTGTCTAACATGAACCCATGGCAAATTTCCTACGTTAGGGGTGGGATGGTATTTTAATTTTAATTCACCCAAAACAAACCTGGAGCTATATAAAACTGAAGGAAAAGTAGACCAGCGAGCTTTACAGTATAACAAACACAAACGAAAGGTGAACGCTTAACACATCACTTATCTGAAGTATCTCGAAGCAGATACGTTGATGTCTTGCTAGTGAAATGAGGAGATATGTTGAACCGGAAAATAAACAGCTGCAGAATGCTAAGGACCATAACTCGAGAGTTTAACACGAGATTTTTTTAGAAAAATAAATTGCGTTGACAGTTTAGTTCCCTCGATGTAAAGGTGCCTAAAGTGAAAATACAGCGATTTTCAAGAAACTTGCGGACTCTGGAGTGGCTACTACCTGGTACAAACTTGGTAACTATATTCAAAGCAGCTATATGCTATATTTCATTCGAGTTAGGGTTAGCAAAATAGACATGATATATTTTTTTTACCGAAAAAAAACACTCGATCTGAAGAAAGCTGCAAACCTTGGATGGACACAATAAAAAAAAACAGAACTCCCGGCAGACAGTCGTCTATGTCGGACATTAGACGGCGTTACATTTAAGGCCTGTCTGTCTCCAATAAAATTAAGAAGCGATCACGGGGAAATAAAGGTGTCCTGGCAAACCCTTGTTAATTCAATCGTTAAAAAACAATTGTCTGGTCAATCCTAATGTGACAGAATTGTTTTTTTTTTTATTCCCATTTCTTGTTGGATAAAATTATCATTGGCAATAAAGATCCGAGGCAGTCTACCTCAAGATAGAACAGCGTTTCTCAACCTGTTGGATGAACAACCATGTCACAAGGGTCGCCAAAGACCATCAAAAAACACATATTTACTGAAGTTATGAAATAGCAACGAAAAAAATACTATGGTTGAGGGTCCCCACAACATGAGGAACTGTACTAAATGGCTGCTGCGTTAGGAAGTTTGAGAGCCACTGAGATAGATGTGATTGTATGTGCGCTGGTCGCGTCTCTGAGACCGCTCGTTACAACGATCTCTTTCACTAAAGTCAACATGTTGACTTTACTGCACTATGGTTTATTCCTTATGTCTCGGTCTCTATCCGCAGAACAGCCGAAAGCGTTGTGCAAAGCACGCACGCTGCAACTACGACGACGACCCTATGGGTCTGAGTAAAAATATTACTCATGAAATAAACAAAGCAGCTGTGAAACGAACCCAATACTTTCAGATTGTGAGGTGAATGGCTAAACCATCTAGCCTCGGAGATCCGTCCCCGCTTCCTCCACCTTCCCCACTTTTTCCCCCTTTACTACACACAGTTTGGAAAATACAAAGGCAATCGTATCAGCACTGGTTTACTTACACTGGAAATATGCTGGTGGAAATGTGTGTGTGTGTGCGCTCGCTTGCGTGCACACCAGAGTCACAGATACTAAAATAATAATGTTAAATGTTGAATTAACAATCCACAAGAAAACAAAAGGGGTACTCCCATAAGCGCTCCGTCCCCTTCTTCAGCAGCAAGCTCAGAGGTCCAGTTCCGATGGCACCAGTAACAGTCTGATTGCAAATTCGTCTCATCCTTCCCCTGAGTATTGAGCGTCTGCCAGTTCCCCTGCTAACTCCTCGCAGCGCCATTCTCCTCAGACCGTAATGATCCAACTGTGCCTCCTCACTGTTCACTCGCGCTCAAAGGGCCCTCACTATATACTAAAATGAGAAATGAATTAATCCTTTCAAGTCCTACAAAAGGAAAGACTCTTTTTCACACCATCGAAGCATTAAGGATAAGATCATAGACCCACATTTAATGACCGTCACCTTTGCGGATTTCGAGACCATAGTTTGATATTGTTCTATGAAGGAGGCATGGGTTTCACAGCCCATGACAAAGGCAAGTGTGACTAGCAAGACACGCCCGCGTTAAGATAAGTATTTCCCAATTATAGCATGGGGTTTCAGGATCATTGTTGTCAACTTTTGTGTTTATTCTGTTTCTTCTCAGAAGCTTTGCTCTCATCCCTTCCGCAATCATTTCTTCCTTCATTCTCATTCTCTTTCCGATGTCCCCCCTCCACACAACACGGTCTATGGCATTTTGTTACCAAGAGTCCACCTGGGTACGTGTAACGTGTATGTCTTGCTTACACACATCCCAGCTACGGGCCATGCGCCTTGAATTCTTTTCGACAGTGATATCAAGAAAACCGACCGTCCAGGAAGCAATGG